AAGTTGGCATGATTTGAAAAGAATCCCGAAACATGTCTCAAATGGGGTCAGGAAAATCCCACACTCCCCCACTCAAAGCCCTAAGATTTTCCAAAATAATAAAGACATTGAAAAGATCCAGAAGAAGCTGGGGTTTTTGCTTAATTTAGAAAGCACATTTGCTTTTGGAAGTTGATTTTAATGGAATGTTTGGCAAGTGATCTTATTTTGGGGTGGAATTTTTAACGTGGGTCTTTCAAGAACTCCATCTTGCGGGAGCTAAAAAGAACCTGAGAAAATGCAGTCATGTTTGATCTCTGTCTCAGGGGGATCCTGGCCAGACTCACTGTGGCACCAGGGTCCCGTGGCCCTATTCTCCTGAGCGCTCGGGCGCACCCTGGAGTGGACGAGGGTTCTGAGGGGAGACAAAGTCCCTGGGGTCGACATCGCGGCTACAGACTTTCAGACTGTAAAAATCTGAAAGTGTACTGATTAATTCAGATGAGAAATAAGGCAACCAAATGGACAAGACGTTGGCGTTTGAGGTCCACCACTTCCCCCTGAGCTTTCATTGTACAATGGCATCACTGGTGATTAGCACATATTTTTAAAAATGTACTAATGTATTCAGTGAAGTACAGTGCTGTCTTGGTTGGGCAAATAAGAAAAAAGACGTCTGCCTATCTCTGCTTTGGTGTAATCAAAGGCCAATTGATTTCTGAGTTCTCGGAGAGGAGGTGGCTCTGTTGCTTCCACCGACAAGCCCTTTCTAACCCCCTTATTTTCTGAAAATATGGAAAATGCTTTAAGGATTTGTTCTCACATACTGAGTAGGCAAAACAGTTTTTTAAGCCTGTGATCTTCCATAGCTCTGCGTCATTTAGAATAAGAGTAAACACTCTGGTTTCCCGATTTTTTTTTTTTGTAAGTGTCTTGTGTGGGAATTTTCTACTCCGTGTTTTAAAATAATGCTAAGAGCGACTTGTTTTCTATTTTGTTCCAGGGTCTCTACTGGGGTTTTACATACATTAACTCATGCAGTCCTTGCAACAACTTCACGAGTTAAGTACTGTAGGACGGATGGGGAAGCAGGTCCGACCAGGTGGGCAGATCTGCCCAGGGCCACCAGGCTAGGGAACGGCCAGGGTTTCGTCCCAGGCAGCCCGCCTCCGGGACCCTGCCACTTAACCTCTGTTTGTAGACCGCCACGGCCAGGGATACATTCAAGGGCTTCTAGCGTTTTCTTAAAAAGGACAGGATCTCCGGCACACACGTTTATACTTTACTGGTACCTTTTGTTTTTTCATATATATGAAAAGGACTAGACCTTATTTATAACGATTTCAACGAAGGGCACATTTACGGTTGCCGGGGTTGTTAAAGCAGGGGAAATGCTTGACCTACAGCGTTTTCACCGGCTGGTCTACTATTTCCCGCTACCTAAAAGGAGTGTTTATTTTTTAAATTATAGTTTACATTCAATATTATTTTGGATTAGTTTCAGGCACACAGCACAGTGGTTAGACAATCATATACGTTACAAAATGTTTCCCTTGATATTTCCAGTACCCGTCTGGCACCAAGGGTTGGCTTTTGTCTGGGAAAACCCGGTCCACTCCGTGGATCGGTTCTGATTTCTCAGTAACACGTCGGCGGCATCGACACAGCAGTGGTGTCCTTCCAATATTGTGAACCCCTCTTCTAAAGAATACATTGTTTTGTAATGACCAGAAATATTCTGTAAGCGTCATGGCTTCATACTTCTCCAAAGGGTCTCATAGTCTCTTGGATGCTTTCAAAGGCATCGTGCACAGTGACTTTTGACCCCTTTTGACTTTTGGCCTCTTTTTGCGGATGCCACGAACTTTATTTTACAGGCCGTACCAACTTAATACAGAGCAAATGCATTTCAAAGTTAATTATGTTTTGAAGTAACATTTGGGCAGCTTTTTAGATTGCATGATAAATGCTGCCAATCTTTGAACTCATTTTTATTCTTTTTTTTTCATTTTCTTCATTCCTAAAGAGTTTCAAATACAGCACAAAAAAATACTACGTACGAGGCAGGAAAAAAATAACAAGATTCACAGATTTTTTTTCATAATTTTGTCATGTGTGACCCATTTCCAGAACTTTGTACTAGTAGAGTGTTTTGGAAAATCTAGTTCTACTTCAGGTAGATAGACTTGAACAAGAATATATAATTTTATTTTTATTTTTTAAGGATATATAATTTTAAAAATTCATATTATATGATCATATACCTGAATTGGTTGGAAGTACCAATTTGGCTTATTCCATTTAATTATCACATTATTAAATATTAGTTATTTAATAATGGCAGTTCTCACAATGAAAATATTTGTAGATTTAAATTGGGAACTGAAAGATACCAACCATTCTGTATAATAAACAATCAGCAGATCATACAAACTGCAGGGTGAATGTCAAGTTTAATCAGTGACTGATTGCAGTGGAATACAGTGGGTTTTTGTTATTCACAGTAGTTATTTTCTATGTAAAATTGCCCCAAACACTGAATTAGCACACATTGAACCACCGTTCCTAGGAGAAATGCAGTGTTAGCCTTTGGTCACAGCCTTTTCATGAACCAGTCAGTCCATAGCCTTGTTTTACATGCATTTCTATTTAAAGATAGAAATACTTTGTTTAATATATATTGTTCACTCATGAACATTGAACTCAGCACCAGACTCAGGCCTCAGTGAAGCGTATCTAATACACCGTTTTCTTCGTGAGACACATCACAGCCTTGTTATGCTTAGGAACACTAGGCAAAGCTTCAGCATTGTGAATGGGGTCATTTTAAACCGTGAAATCACACACACACAAAAAAGCACAAAAAATGCCAAACTAAAGTGGCACTAAATAGACCCAGAACCAGACACAGTGGGAACTGAATCCCGAGGCAGAGAGAAGGCTGCTTTGTTTGACCCCAGCTGGGAACATCAGCATGGCCATGACTCAGACTGGTCGCGTCTGCATGCAGGTCTGTGAATGGCCCAGAAAATGTCTTAAGTATTGACCTGGAGGTGGCAAAGAAGTTTTAGTGAGTGGGGGAATCCACAAATAAGGAGGATTGGCCATATTTTTAAAACTTAAAGCTATACATTGATTAGTGTGTCAGAAAACCAGTTTTTATTTAGAAACCCAAGTTCTATTTTATTTTAGTAATAAAAAACATTTCAATTACAATGGGCATTCAATATTATATTAGTTTCAGGTATACAGCATAGTGGTTAGACATTTATATAACTTACAGAGTGACCCCGCCAGTCTAGTATCCGTCTGGCACTATACGAGGTACATAATTACTACAGTTTTCCCCACCCTCGACCCTACCTGCCTTTGGTCTTGTGCATGTGGCCTTTATAGATGTTTCTGAAAACCCAGCCCAGTTTTGCGAGAAATCTGGGCTGCAACATGCTTTGTGCATTTTTACTTCCTTCCCTTGCTTAAATCAAGGTCATCGTACCCAGGGTTCCGTCCACTGCCAGCCTGTCCTACCATCGCAGAGCAGGTAATGCCAGACTGGGGTCCCTTCCAGCTCCGACCCTCGCCCCACACTCAGGGTGCTCTTTCTCAACCCTCAAAGGACACGTGGCCACATGCTGCCTTGCAGAGTCTTGACATCCCAGAAAGTTCAAAGGCTTCTGGGCAGGGGTCAGCCCAGGTACTTTTTCTGCTCCCACTTAACCACCACAGTACCTTGCTTTCACACAGAGAAAAATCTGTTTAACACTGATGACAGTTTTTCGGTATTGCGTGTTTTTGCAGCGTTCTCGAGGTGTCACTGAGAAATGAAATGGTAAGATATTTAAGATGTGCATAGTGACGATTTGATGTCTGTCGCGGAAGTATTCCTCCCATCTAGTTAACACACTCTTCATCAACACCGATCTGTTTTTAAAGACTGCAAATCAGACTTCATAAAACTGAATTCTGGAACAGTCGGATGTAGAGTTAGTAGGGAAGGGACTTTCTCCAGACGGTCCTCTTCCAGGTGCCCTGGGGGTTCATCAGCTGTTATGTTTTCTCTGGCAGAGTCGTTTCATTGACGACTTAAGAAACGTGTAATGATTCTGCCACAAGGAAACACTGCAACCTGAAAACATGTTTGTTACAAACTCTACTACTAATAGGAGCTTTAGGAAAGTCTTAGTTTCCACTAAGGACTTTTTTTTTTTTTTTTTTTTTAGGGTTGCTTCAAGTGAAAGCATTGAGGCTTGGAGAGGTGGCAATGTTGCTGTAAAATCAAAAGCCGCTGTCAAGGCCAAGGAATTCTCAGACACACGGAGATAATTGGATGGAACCAAGAAAAGCTGCCATATGTCTGAGTCTGAACCGCACAAAGGTCCACCGAGGGCCTCACAGTGAGGCAAGTGCGGGTTCCGTGTTCAGCTTCTGCTACAAGTTTTGGCATTACTCACCTTCTCTGTATCTCTGTACTTTATGTTCTGGGGTCTGACTCTTGTCTTTTGACGAGCTGTATACCCTTGGACAGTTTATTTCCCTGTGATGGGCAGCACATCTTAAAAATGTCTAATCCTAATATCCACTTCATAATCTTGTTTTATTTAATGAGGTCATAGATGGAACACTTAGAGCAGCTCTCAAAAGAACACGCGTGCTTCATAATTAGAAGCTATGGCTGTTACTTACAGTTTGGCCCGCAGGGTTGAGAAAGCTAAAGAAGCCCACCGGGACAGGATACACAACTGGGGGAGCCCACAGCAGATGCGGGCGCGCGCGCTGCGTTCAGAGATCGGGAAGAATTTCACCTGGGGCAGCGCAGCCGTGAACCACCGCGGGGGCCCTCGGGCCACCGCACGGGCTGCGCGCCCCGCGAAGCTGGCTCTGGAGCTGGAAGCAGAAGCGTTTCCACACAGTAAGTGCTACACAGACGCTCGCTCACCTTTGCGCCCACAGGCTCCTACACCTCGCCCACAGGCTCCTACACCTCCGGCGCCACCGCTGTTAACATTGACCCCCAGCTGTCACTTGTCCCCCAACAAAAGGAAAAAGATCTGTAGTTACGCTCGCGATGGACCAACCTCCAACCCCAATGTCCCCCGGTCGCTTTGGCAAGGGTCCGCCGCTCAGCCAAGCCTCGGCCTGGCCAAACGGGACCCCCACAGCAAGGAGACATTCCCCGAGGATCGGGGTCGCTCCCGGTATTTCTCCGAGGCGGAAGGCGGCCGCGCCTCCTGGTCCCCCGCGGTGTTTACCGGTTGCCCCAGGAGACAAACTGGCGGGTTCCCGGAGCAGCCGCCAAGCTCTCCGAGGTTTGGGTCCGAGCGCGCCGCGGGGCTCCAGGGCCGGCATGAGCCGCCGTGCCCCCTCCGGCCGCCCCAGGCGCCTGGACCCGACCAGTGGTGCCTCGTCGCCCGCGCCCGAGGTACGGTCCCAGCCGGCCGGCTGCGCGCGGGAGGGGGGTGGTGGCGGGGACGCCTCTCCTAACCCGGGAGAGCACCGGGGTGGAGGCCCGGGGTGCGCAAACTTCTCTGGAATGCGTGTGCGTGAGTGCGCGTGGGGCTGCCGGGGTCCGTGTGCTCTAGCCTTGGAATGGACTGGAGTTGCCTGCGCCCCGTTCACTATGGGAAGTTTTGGGCTGGTCCTGGGTTTGTGGCGTGCGTCTGAATTCTGTCTAGGTTGTACCAATTTGCTTCTCTGACCCTTTATCTGAACAGGTTAACAGGGTGTCCGTCTCCTGTGGACCCTCCCCAAATCCCCTGCCTTCCCCCACCAAGCCCCTTCCTAGCTAATAATTCTTTCGGTTAACTTACACTTCTTAGCTACTAAGACATGACTTAGAGCAGTTTCTTTAAAATCAGATGGCGTCAGGTTAATGCCAGTCCTGAGCAAAGTCTCTGGCCTTTTCTTGTTGCTAATCACCCCCGACACATTAATTCAATTGCCGTTGGGTTCATTTACTCATTCACTCCCAGGAGGACACCAGGTATGTTCACACACACACACACACACACACACACACACACACACTCTTCAGGCTGGCTCAGCCTAGGTTGTGTATCCCCTCCCGCCCTGGCATCGGGACCCCACCAGGCACAGAGTGTGTGTGTGTTGGGGGGGGGGGGTTGCTAGAGACCTGGGAATGCATCCCGCTGAATTTCCAACCTGAGAGGTGTCCTCGGCATAACCACACTAACCACAGAAATCCCTGCGGAGACTCTTGGGTTCGAAACGGGGGGGTTCTTCGGGGCGAGCTCTCCACTGCGCTGCAGCGCTTCCGATAACTCAGCTGCTTTGATTGTTGCCGTACTTACGTCTGAGCCACATTCAGATTTCCTGATTCCCAGCGTGTCTGTGCTCTTGTGCAAATAAAACCAGTATTTCTTCCGTTTGACATTTGCATATTTTATCCCGATATGGTGTCCTCTTGTAAGTGAAGAGCGTTAGCTCGTGCAAAAGTATGTCGTATTTTTATATTATATGTATTTGTTTGGAGAAGCCGTTGAAAAGAAATTACAGACATCATGGCCCTTTATTCCCAGATTGTGTGGACCTCTGAAAGAATAAGGGCATTCTCTAACCAAACTATAACGATCACATCAGATGTTTAACGTTGTTGCAACAGTATTATCTAAAGTACGCGACCTACTAAAATTTGCCGGTTGTCCCAATAATGCCGTTCACGGCAAACATTTTTTTCACTTGAGGATGACACATTGTCTTTAGTTATGTGTCTTGAGACCCCGTAAACCTGGAACAGGCAGTCCCTCAGCCACGCTTCATCTTGGATGGCACCCACAGTTTTTACGGACTTTGGGCCGTTTGTTTTTGTAGAAGAGGTTAATCCGATCGTTTTTTTCACGATTAGATTTTTGGTGAAATGCTTTAGAAGTGTACGAAGTGTCTCAGCGCTTCACACCAGGAGGCACATGATCTCGTCTGTGCCCCCACTGGCGATGCTTCTCAGTGATTGGTAGCGTCTGCCAGAGTTTCCCACTGCAAGTGTGGAAAAAGAAGTTTTAGCTATACATAAGTGATCCTTTTGAGTCATCTTACTGATTCATATTGAGATTTTTTTTAGGGTAAGTTTTACTGCGTACATAAAGGAAAGCATCTATCACACTCAAGATTTTAATCAACCTGAAAGACCTAAATTTTATTGAGAATAAAAGTCGATGCAGAAAGGCCAGCATTTGTTACCATTTATTTTTCAGTTTAGAGAATACTTCATCGGATAATCTTATAAGCCAGGGAGGCCAGACAGGAGTTTCCCATTATGTGGACAATGAAACGGCTTATTTAATTAGCTCGTGATGGAGCGGAGACTTACATATCTTTCCCTTGAAAGGTTAGTACTTTTCTTCTTCCACCATCATGCACTGAAAAGCAGATTAAAATACAGAGCAGGGACCATATACAACCATATGAAGAAGCAGGGGGCTGCCGGGACTGAGGGTCTTATTCTTGGATTCAAGCAGGCCTAGCGATACCACATGTTGTACGTGACACCTTGGGCAAAAAAAAAAAAAAAGTCCTTAATGCCTCAGAACTTTAGTTTCTCCTAAAAACGGGATCATAACACCACATAGTGTAGTTTGGGGACTTCACAGTTCATTATAAAGCCCTCAGTAGATTGATAAAATAAGTGTGTGTTGATGTGAGCTGTTATGTATTATTCTTTGTAACATTTGGCATTTGCCTTGCCACCAGCACCACAGCCACTATACCACTGCCATCACCGACCCCTCCTGTGCTACCTCAGCCTCCACGCCACAGTCAGTTGCTGAGGGTCTATGCAAGGGGTAGAGTCTGTAACAACAAATTTGACGCAGTCTCTGCTGTCAATGAAGAATCGCCAAAAAACATACATACATAACACATAGACACAGACGACAGTGTGGCGGCAGCCAGAGGGAAGCAGGGTGGGGGCCGGTTGGAGGCGGGCAAAGTGGGGGGAAATGGGACAGAAAGACACTTTGCCTGGGGCCCTGGGTGCACGATGCGGTGTGCAGCTGATGTTTTGTTGAGTCGTGCACTGGAAACCTGTCTCGTTTTGAGAACTGATGTCAGCCCAATAAATTCAATTAAAAAAAAAGGTTCACAATCACGAGAAACAGACACATAAACAGATGATGACTGTTTCATTGGCATAACCCATGAGCTAACTTTAATGCTGCATTTTTCTCGAGTTAGGTTTGCTTTTAATCAAATCATCAGCAGGGTTTTACTAGGCTACAAAATGTGGTGAGCAGTACTAAGAGCAATACTATGTGAGCTGAAGTGTATCAGCTCAAGCACAGAGGACAGAAACATGAAATAAGGTATGGAAGCTGAAAAATGTTACCAAATTGTATAGAGTTGTATCATCAGTCAGCCAAAAGCGATGGCAGTCATTTGGTGAGAAGGGCGTGGACCGGGTGTCAGAAGCTACAAATGCACAGTGGATTGCCAGCTACGCCTGTATTTTCACATACCTAGAACATCTGCACCAGAGTCATGACTCCAGTGTGTACCATTGTTGGAAATTTGAGCAAGTTCCTTTCCTCTCGGTAAAACACGGGTTCATTAGAAGAACTGTCTGCTGCAGTTGTTATGAGGAGCAAAGGTAAACAGCAACAGTCCATCCACAACTACAGTTCCTCAAAACAAAGGTCTCAGCTGGTCATGTGTAATTATCCGGGAAGTAGAGTTTGTTTTCCCTTCATTTCCCCATCATTTCAACTTTTTAAAAAAGATTTTATGTATTTTATTTTTAGAGAGGGAAGGGAGGGAGGGAGAGAAACAGAGAGAGAGAGAGAAACATCAATGTGCGGTTGCTGGGAGCCGTGGCCTGCAACCCAGGCATATGCCCTGACTTGGAATCGAATCTGTGATGCCTGGTTCGCATCCTGCGCTCAATCCACTGAGCTACGCCAGCCAGGGTCATTTCAACTTTTTGAGACATTGTGATAAAATACACACAACATAAAATTTACCGTCTTAACCGTATTTAAGTGGCAGTAACTACATTCTCATTATTGTGCAACCATCCCCACCACCCGTCTGTAGAACTCTTCATCTTGCCAAACTGATTCTTTGCACCCACTAAACCGTAACTCCCCATTCCCCCTGCTCCCTAGCCCCTGGCAGCCACCATTCTATCTTCTGTCTCTGAATTGGACATTAGGTAGAATGTCAGAGTACTTGTTTTTGTGACTAGCTTATTTCACTCCATGTAACGTCCTCAAGGCTCATCCATGTTGTAGCACATGTCAGAATCGCGTCCCCTTTAAGCTGAAGAATGCTTTGTCATTGTGTTCACCGTGTTTTGGTTTTCCACTCATCTGTGCATGGACACCTGGGCCATTTCCGTCTTCAGCTATTGTGAATAATGCTTCCATGATCGTGGGTATATGAGTGTCTCTTTAAGACACTGCCTTCACTTAATTTGCATATCTACCCAGATTGGACTCCCTGGATCATATGGTCATTCTACCTTTAATTTTTTGAGCAATTGCCCTACTGGTTTCCATAGCATCTGTGCCATTTTGCATTCATATCAGCAATGTACAAATGTTCCAGTTTCTCCACATCCTTGTCCACACTTGTTCCCTCCCTCCCTCCCTCCCTTCCTTCTTCTTTCTCTCTTTCTCTCTCTCTCTTTCTTTCTTTCTTCCTTTCTTTCTTTCTTTTTCCTTTTTTATAGTAGCCATTCTAATGATTGTGAGGTGGTATTCATGTTCACTTTTTAAAGAACCATTTCCTCCCTCTTGTGATTTGTCCTTTTTCTCTCTCTTTTTTTTAATCAAGCTCAAGTTTAACTAAGGATCTGACACTAATCATATGTCTTCATATGAATTTAAGTCAGAAGTCTATTCTAGTTATAAAGAAAAACACCCAAATCTCAAAAAAAGGCAAGAAAGTAGAGAAAAAGAAACAGAAAAAGCAGGAGATAAGGAAAAACAAGATAATGATGGAAAGAAATACAAATATATCATTAATTATAATAAATATAAATGGACTAAATGCTCAGTTAACTGACCAAAGTTGTCAGGTTGAATTTGTTTAAAACCTAGATATATGCTATTTATGAAAGACTTGTGGAAACAAAATAATGTGGAAAAGTTGAAAGCATTAGTGTATAAAAAGATTTAACTGGGAAATAACAACCAAAAGAAATTTGATTAATTACAGTAAAATTACATAAAATACTTTTAATGCTTTAGGGAAAGCATTACTCCAGATAAAGAGAGCCGCTATAATGATACAAATTATATTTCTATTTCATACAAATTTTTTTCATAAGGAAGTTATAATAACTCTAAATGTGTATGCATGTAAAAGATGGCCTCAAAATATATAAAATAAAAATTGACAGAAGCAAAAATCTGTAAAGAGATATAACCAATTCACAACTAGAGTAAAACATTTTTTAAACACACTCCTGTTAGCATCTGATGACCAGACAAAAATTTGTCAAGGGAGACATTAAGAGAGCTAAAACATTAAGTCAAGGGAGGCATTAAGAGAGCTAAAAATATAAACGTGGTTAAGCCATTGTGATAAATAAAAGTACACAAAATACTTGGAATATGACTGTAAAACTTAACAGGATGACTTTTCTTCTTTGCCAAGGGGATCAATACTTTTAGACTAAAAACTAATCAATTGTACAAGATCCTAGAAACTGTACTCTATTGGTAGGGATTGACAAATAATTAGATGTTTTCCCTTTGTTTTAAATAAAAAAGGGCTTCATACTATCCGAAATAAATGACAACCCTCTAATCATGAGAAAACATTAGACAAACCCACCTCGAAGGATTTTCTGCAAAACAACTCCGCAGAAGGGTCAAGGTCGTGATGGGAAGAGACTTGGGGGACATGACAACTAAGTGCACTGTGGGTGTCTGGATTGACTCCCCGGCCCAGAGAAGGACAGTGATGGAAAACTGGTGAAAGGGGAGCAAGGTCCGTGGCTTATAGCATTGTGCCAGTGTTGATTTCCCGGTTTTCACCGATGCACCTCAGTTATGCAATTATTAACTTTAGGGGAGGCTGGGTACAGGTCAGAGGGTGTACAGAAACTCTCTGCTCTAATTTTGCAACTTTTCTCTGTCTAAAGTTATTTAGAATAAAAAGTTTAGAAATGAATAAGCAGCTGATTTATTTGCACACCCATCTTATTTAACTACAACACTTAGTTTCTCGTGGTATTTAATTATTCCTGGACCATCTGGCTCTAGAATGCAGTGTGTGAGAAAGCATTCAGAGAACAGGTAGAAGAAAATAACTTTCTGCCCACCAACCAGAAAGCAGGTTTTCCTTTTTTTTTTAATAATAAAAAAACCCTTCCTTTTTAATCAAGGCTTTTAACATGAAACAGATTTCTTGAATCAAATGGAAAGTTTCCAGTACATTGAAATGTAAATCACCATACATATAACACCTGGCAGGAAAAAAAAAAGCAGCAAGTTTACACAATGCCTGTGACAGCCATGGTCTTGTTCTCAGGTGCTTCCTCCATCTGCCACGTGCGTTCTGCCAGACACACAGCTCCCCATGTCTCTGGGGTCGTGCTCAGCAGAGGCTGCAGCCCAAGAGCCCTCCTCTGGCCGGCTTGTGGGGCTGCTGGATCTGCTCAAGAGGCAAACCGGTCACCGGCACATCAAACAGTGTATCCCAAACATCCTTTAAAAATCAAAGTGAGAAACAAGAGGGCAACACAATAATGTTATCAGAACGATGCTAGCAAGTGAGGACAGCTGTGTAAACTAGAGGCTGAAAGGTGGTTCCCCAGCCTCGTTTCTGTGGCTTCTTGGGCAGTGGCCACCGGAACAGCTCTGGTTCGAGGATCATATCACGGACCCGTCTCGGACTCTGCCGAACCCCAAGATTCCTCCCTTCTGATTCAGACATCAGATGGGTTTCAGGGACCAGCTTGGCTATGTCCTCCCTCAGGCACCTCGACATGCTCGAACTCCTTGTTGTACTTGTCTGAGCAGTAAATCTGTACGAATTGATCTCTCCTCTGGAGGACTGTCAGCCCCACGCTGCCAACTTCCAGCAGCTCCCTAGGTTTTCCTTTGTGTGTTTTAGCGAGATTGTGTGTGACGTACTGCAGGTTACTGGATATGAGGTTCATCTGTCTGAAACCATGGTGAGTGCTCCTCGGTTTGTACTTAAGTCGACTAATTTAAAGACTCAAATTTTTCTGTGTTCAAGGACAACTTAAAAATGTAATCGAAAAAGGGAGTCACACTGGCTGCACCAGGAATTATTTAGGCTATGTTCTTCACCCAAGGTTTCGTTTTTCTTTGTTTCACTTCCA